AAAAAAAAAAAAAAAAAAAAAAAAAAAAAAAAAAAAAAAAAAAAAAAAAAATCGTTGATATAGTCAGTGACTTTTAATTTTTTAAAAGCTTTTCTTAATTATCCTATTTCCACGATCATATAGTCTCCATTCATCTATATATCTTTCATTTACGTATATAATTCAATTATTTGAACGATACTGTCAGATATCAAAATTATCCCAATAATATCATTTTCATTATTAACGTCGGAGTGTTTTGAAACATTAATGGACGAGTTTTTATTTAAAAGAGAGGAGATTATTTAAAAAATTAAAATAATAGAAAAAAAAAAAGAACCAGATTATAAAAATAATTGAATCTAATGAAATCAAAGAGCCCAAATATAATTAAAACAATATTCCAACCATCCAAAATAAAAAAAACGGTAATTGGTCTGAATGCAAATATAATCCGATAAATCTCAATATAATATATATATATAAAATAGATTACAATAAATTTAATTATATCAATATTTTTAACATTATAATTTTTTAAAATCGACATTAATTAGATAAAAAATGATATTATAAATATTTTAAGCAGGAAATCAAATATATGTAATGGAATTTCCATCCAACAAAACCTGAAAACAAATTAGAAAGGAGACGAGCAACTAAAGAACAGAACGAAGCTTACACATCCAAAGCAACAAATGATGATGATACGATAGAACAATACGATGCGCATTTTCTCCTCCACGACCAGCAACAACTAAAAAAAAAAAANTTTTCTCCTCCACGACCAGCAACAACAAAAAAAAAAAAAAAAAAAAAGCAAGAAGAAGCCGGGAAACTCAGGATGGATAGCGCCCGAAAAGAATACGACGATGTCGGGGGAGCTAATGCAACAACGTCGATCGATCGACACGGCGCTATCCCTCCTGAGCTTAACGGACTCTTCCGTGCAATAACAAAGAGAAAAAGGGGGATTTGAATTGGGTTTTTTGTGTGTGTTTTTGTTATGATATATAGGGAGAAAGGCCACCAAACCGAAGTAAATGCTGTGTGTGGGGGAAGAAGAGAGCTAATGGCATCGTATTTATAGCCTCAACGTGCCAATTTATTTTATATAAAATAATAATAATTAAAAAAAAAAAACATAAAATAAAAGGTTAAATTGGTAAATAAGGGTGAATTACGGAACGGGGAGTGGTTTAGTGGAGTCCGTTAAAACGGGGAAGAAACGGGAAGGGTTACACTGAAACCGGAGGGGTGGCATTGGAAATTGGAAAAGTTCCTGACTTTCATTTTCCTCTTCCCGACTCTCAAAGTGGTCTACGCCGTAGGCGAAGGATCCAAGGCCCGCCTTCCCATGTTTCCCAAAATACCCCTCCTTCCGTAATTGCTTACAACTCCAGGGGCAAATATGTAATTACATCCTTTCATTTTTTTTTTTTTTCATTTATATATATATATAAAAAGGACATATTTAAATTATAATTTTAATTGCACAAAATAGGAATAAGGTACATGCACGGTCTGCTGCGACGCGCATTTTCTCCCTTGGTAATTTAGGTCGATAGAAAATTTCAAATTATTTAATTTTTTTTTATGAATAATATTTGGTGTTGATGAGTTATTAAAACAAAATATTTGGAATGGTTAGTTGTAAATTTATTATTATTAATAAATTGTTTACATTTAAAAGGAATATAATTTTAAAGAAATAGATTAAGATAATAAGGCAAAATATTCATTAAAAGGGGGCAAAATTGGTGCTGGGTGGAGTGATGAGGATGTCAGAAGTGGGGCCCAGTGGAGGAAAGGTACTCTGGAATTTACCGTACCGGATCCGATATCCTTTATTTATTTTAATTTTTTTTTTAAAAAAAGAAATTGAATTTACACAAAAAAGATGATAAAAATATGAAATTCCCATAAAAAGGCAGCCGGTCTGCGCAGCCGAAAAGGGTTTATTTCCATGGAAATCGAACCGGACAAACCGGGAAGACTTTTTATTTCCTTTTTCTTTTCATTTTTGTGTATGGTCAAAGAAAGAGAGGGGGGATCTGGTGGTTTCTGTAGGTATCCGGTTAAGCGTATGAGTATAATCATGACCGTTGGATTTTATGAGGGTGGGGCCCAGAAGGGTGTTGTTTTTGTCGGTATATGAGTAATGGGCCTGGAGCTGGGCCTGGTGGGGGGAGGTCTTAATTCTGGGATTATGCGTGGGGTACGGCTACGGTGCAGCTACTCTATTGTGGACCCCACTGCACAACCTCATTATTTGCTTAATTACCTTCTGCCAACTCTGTGGGTCCCTCCTTTTTATTTCTCTTAACAATTTAAAGCCGTCTAATTAATTTCTTGTTTTTTTTTTTTTTCTTTTTTTAATTATTTTTACCCACAAAGTTTTAATATTGCTTCTAAATAATTATTTAATTTATTAAAATAATATATCAACACGAGTTTTGTCATCACACACATTCATCACTATAAAATTCAAGAGTTCGATTGAGTCACGTGTACCTTATCAGTATTAGTAGTAGTAACTTTTAATTTTTTTAAACGTTTTTAGTCATTCTATTCTTAGGGCCGATTTCATTTAAATATGATCTCGACTCATGTTTGTAACGAACGAAAGGGCATTAAAGTAATTTCATTAAAAAAATTAGGGTTTTTTTCCCATAACAAGCAAAATGTTACATTTATTTATTACTTACTTCTCTTCTTTAATTAAATTATCTAATTTGGATTAAACTGGATTATCACCATAGATATTAATAATTATTCTCAAATAAATAATTTTAATAAAATTGTAAATAATTAAATTAAAAAATTAATTATAATTTATTTATTAACCATTAAAATCATTTTATGAATAAAAAAAATAATAAAAAAAAAGAAAATGTAATCCTTTTCAAAATATGTATGAATGTGAGCGGAGGTTCAAACTTTTAACCTTTAAGAGCGATCAGTAACGTCGAAAGCGAAAGTATTTGTTATCGAAAGAGACAACGGTAACGATATCTCAAGTCTTTTCTTTTTGGTGAGATCATCGAATGAAGGCAATTACAATGATATAAGCAGTTCCAGTTGTATAAAAAGAAGGCACAAATTTGTTCACAGAAAATGGAAGAGCAGTTCATTCCAGACATCAGGAACTCCTGGTAGGCACCAATGTATGCAATCTGAGTAACTTGCAGGGTTTGATAGTTGCTGGGGGCTTAGCTCTTCCCAGAACTTCCGGTAGATGGACGGGTGGCCGTCTTTTCGATACTCCGAAAGCTGAGTGATGTTCAGAACTGTTACCTCTGAGCTCAGCTTCTCGACGACGTTCTCCACGATGCGCATTGTAGGCTGGTCTGACCCACTTCCCCAATAGCTTTCCAATTCGATTGGTGTTTTCTCGTCGTAGCAGTTCCCTTCGCTTCCCGATTCCCACTCTCGGCTCCTGAGATTCATGGAAGCAACTGGTTTTACGACCCCATTGTTCATGATGGGTGATAAAATTCTTGCAGACCAAAGCTTCTCCAAGTAACGAATGTAAGAAAAGAAGAATGCAATCCCCGGATTTACAATATGTTAATCAGAAAAGACTTCGGGAGTTAAACAGCCCAACAGACGACAGGAAGAGTTGTAGATGACTGCATGTGAGATTCCATATCGGTTGGAGAGGAGAACAAAGTATTCCGTAAAAGGGTGTGTAAACTTCTCCCTAGCAAATGCGTTTAGAAAGTCCATAAGGGAAAGCCCAAAGAAGACAATATCTATTCGCGACGGGCTTGGGCTGTTACAAATGGTAACAGAGCCAGACACCGAGCGATATGTCAGCGAAGACATTGGCACCCAAGGGGGTGGATTGTGAGATCCCATACAGGTTGGAGAGGAGAACGAAACATTCCTTACAAGGGTGTAGAGATTTTTCCCTATGGGTTGGAGAGGATAGCGAAACATTCCTTATAAGAGTGTAGAAACCTTTCCCTATCGGTTGGAGAAAAGAACAAAACATTTCTTATAAGGAGCTCTAACCCTTTCTCTAGCAAACTGGACAAAAGTTTCCTTATAAGAAGCTAGAAACCGGGTGTAGAAACCTCTCCCTATCGGTAGGCGAGGAGAACAAAACATTCCTTATAAGGAACTAGGAGCTAGAAACCTCTCCCCAGCAAACTGGACGAAACATTCTTTACAAAGGTGTAGAAACCTTTCCCTGTTGGTTGGAGAGGGAAATGAAGCATTCTTTATAAGGAGCTAGAAACTGGGTGTAAGAAACTTCTCCCTGTTGGTTGGAAAGGAGAACAAAGCGTTGCTTATAAAGAGCTAGAAACCTCTCTGTAGCAAACTGGACGAAACATAAGGGTGTAGAAACCTCTCCCTATTGATTGGGAGCTAGAACCCTCTCCCTATTGATTGGGAGCTAGAACCCTCTCCCTACCAGACAAGACGAAACATTCCTTATAAGGAGCTAGAAACGAGATGTAAAAACCTCTCCCTATCGGTTGGTGAGGAGAACGAAACATTCCTTACAAGGATCTAGGAGCTAGGAGCTAGGAATTTCTCCCTAGCAGACTAGACGAAATATTCTTTGTAAGGGTGTAGAAACACCTCTCCCTGTTGGTTGGAGAGGGGGAACAAAACATTTCTTATAAGTAACTAGAAACCAGGGGTAGAAACCTCTCCCTGTCGGTTGAAGAGGAGAACAAACATTCCTTATATGAAGCTAGTAACCGAGTGTAGGAACCTCTCCCTATCAGTTGGGGAAGAGAACGAAACGTTCCTTATAAGGAGCTAGAAACCTCTCCCTAGCAAACTAAACGAAACATTCCTTATAAGGGCGTACAAACCTCTCTCTATCGGTTGGAGAGGAGAGTAAAACATTCCTTATAAGGAGCTAGAAACCTCTCCCTAACAAGCGTGTTTTAAAACCTTGAGAGGAAGCCTAAAGGAGAAAGCCCAAAGATGACAATATTACAAGCCGTGGGCTCGGGCTGTCACACTGCAGGATGTATTGAACAACATAATCTTGTAATAACCAAGTGTTACAGTTAATGGAAGTTCATTAGCAGGGTTCGAACAAATACCACAGATGCGTCGGAGACATGGTGACGAAAAAAACTCGTTTCTTCAAGGGAATGGCCCTCGAAGCCACCCAGTCCGCCCATGTCATCATAACCAACTCCATAGCTTCCCGTCCATCTAATTCTTCACAAGCTCCATTTTCTTCAGCATTCCATCTAAAAGCAGACATTTAAGCTCTTATCAACATATGATAGATCAAAGCTAAAGGGAACTCTGAACCTTGAGCTGAAAATATAATCACTTATACTGACAATAGCTTAACTGGGCCTTGTCTCCACCACAAGTAAGTATTGAAAACTAATATATCAGCATGCTCCCACTCCGACGAATGCTTAAGAACGGAATCTGGACGAATTATTCGTTCATCCAATCGATGATTCACCGGGTCATCTGAATTTGATTCCACAAGAAGAGGCGCCCAGAGAAACTCTATGGTGGCGTTATACTCCTGCAGTTCATAAATCACATGACGTTTCATTCAGCAGTCGAACGAAAACGAAACGTTTCTCCTCGTGTTCTAATCTCTACTTCCATTCATTATGTTAAACACTAATCTAAACGAGTTTCTGATTACCTCAGCTCTAAAAATGGTAAGAGGAGCATTTGGCGACATGGATTTCTTATCAGCTGGAATCACAGATTGAAGCAAACAAACCATCGAAATCCATTGCCCTCGATTCAACGAATCCCCGACGAACATCAACCTTTTCCCTCTCAACTTCTCCCACATTTCAGCAATATTCCATCTACAAATGAGTTAAAAGAGATCCATCAATTCAAGCTATCTTGGTACTTGAAGCAGAGGAGGATCTGTTTACAATATTTCATACATTTCAGGTAAATTTTGCTTTCAAGTTCAAGATTTGTATATATACAATGAAACCATAACTTCACAGCCAAGCAGAATCCATCATATTTATCATAGAAATACAGAGAGAAGCCATTAAAGGAGGAAGAAGAAGCTTACCTCTTCAAATTGCAGCCATGGGGTTGCCATCTCCAGTACTGATATCTCAGATCAGTTCTGCCATGTTTGTGGCAAGCCAACTGGTCGGACATGTATGGACATTTTGACTCATTGTACAATGGATACGAAGTGTTATCGAATACCCATTTGCCTGAAAACACATCACATCTCTCCGACCTCTCTCTCCGATTAGTTGAATCCGGTTTCCGGCCGGACCATGAGATTTTCCGGCCACTGTAATCTCTAGTTCCATTACACTTACTGAATCTATCCAAAATTTCTAAAACCCGCAAAAACAAACAGTTCATCTCATCGATTGAAGACAACTAAAGCCGAATAGAAGAAAGAAGAGGAAGATTAAACATACCAGAAGCTCCATTTCGAGTGATCAAAACATTAGGTTTCACAAACGTAATCGAAGCATCTCGGCGACGAATTTCAGGATCTGGGGTTTCTTGGATCTTCCGAATGCTATGTTCATTGTGCAGGATTGTGAAAACCATGAAGAAAACGAACAGCAACGCCAGTAAATGTAAATGCGTTTTTCTCCGATTCCATCTCTGCATCACGAATTCGAAAAGCGGCAAAGAACAAAGGGTTTTGACTAAAACCCACTTCAAAAAAGTTCACTAAAAAAGGATCTAATCCAAATCTGAACTTATTCACAACTAGCTGGAAGATTTCATAACACGATCTTTCTAAACAGAGACAGCCAGAGATGAATCGAAAGGAAGGACCCCATAATTGAAATCATCGACCCCACGGAAGTGTTCTTCCTGTTGATTAGGAATTCGGCGGTTTTCGAACAATAAGGGCTTCGTTTCTTGGCAACCGTCGCGGCAAGATTAAGCAGAATTGATTAAAGAAATTCGCTAAAATAAATGGGCTCACTGTCGCGCGAAGAACTCGATCGTGGTCTTCAACAATACAAGGACATCATATTATTCCAAGTTATTAAAATTCTTCTCAGTCAAATTGTTTTCAAATCCATAATTCGTTCGTTCTTGATTTCGAAATAGAATTTCCCCAAATTTATGGGAGTTTATATAAAGCACGTGGCAAATAATCTCCTCTCCTATCTCAAAACGTTCTTCAATTAATTACTCTTTTAGATGTTAAATTCTATGCATTTATTACATTTTGACACGTGTAATTTCATGGCGGTTATTATGAAAAGGGTATAAAAGTCATTTGAGGCCAATGGGCCGCTACAGGGCTTTAATATTGGGCTTTCTCCACCAAAGATAAGCGCTGAAAATGAGTATATGGGCTTCGGCCCAATACCGCCTTCACTCTCACAATCCGATCTGGCAATCCGTTGACTGGGTCATTCGAATTTGACTCCACCGTCAGTGGGGACCACTTGCGTTGTATTCCTTATTTTATAAATGACTTATGACCATGATTGCTATTATTATTTTATATTATTTATATTAAATTCAAATATGTTAATATGCCCTTGATTAGACCCAATAATAATAATAATAATAAAATTTTATATAAAATATTAATTTAATGAACACGTCACCTAGGGTTTAAATTTACATAAATTTAGCTCAATTTTTTTAACAAATATGAATTAAATGAAAGAAAATAGAAATACTAAAAAAAATAGTTTATGGGTTAATTTTTTTTCTAAAGTAATATTTTATATTTATTTTTTTTCAAATTTATTTAATCCATTGAATTCATCAAACACTTTGTCTAGATTCATCTATTAAGCTTTTGACTTTTTTAAAAAATAATTATTTAACTATAATTAATTAGAAAATTTCCTTTGAGGTCAATTATTCAACTATAATTTGTAATTTTGAGATATATATATATATATATATATATATATATATATATATATATATATATATATAAATTATGTATTTAATTTAACAAAAATAATTAATCTATATGATTAATTATTGAAAAGTAATTAATATACAAAAAAATTTTAAAACAGAAAACACTAAATTACATTTTGTTTGCATTTGTTTTGAAAGTTCGTATTAATTTTTAATCTCAATAATTTATATTATTAATAAATGATTTTCACTCTTATCCCTCTAATTAACTACTCTTATTATAATTATAAAAAAAACTTATAAAATTAGTTCTTAAATTCAAAATAATTTCAAAATAAATGCAAAGAAAAATTTGTTTAAAAAAATAATAATATTTTTAAAAAATGGGGAAAAGAGAAAAGGGATCAATAAAACTGCCCCTTCCTCCCCACTTGCACACCAACTTGCAGAAATATGCAACTTGCAGCCAATAATAAATAAATAAATAAAATAAGAAATATACTAATTTTGAGGTTTTTTAAAATATATTTTTATCACTCTAAAAAAATATTATTTGGATTTATTAAAAGAATAAGCTCTCACCTTTTTAATTCTTACACATTCAACATAATTTTGTTGCCATTAATTTAATTTTAATTAATTTTTAAATGGTTGAATTCAATTAATTTATAAAATAATGGATAGCAGCTGAACCATCTTTTATTACGTCTATGGTTACTAAAATTACACATATTTTAAAAACGAGATTGCTCACAACATAATTTGGTCAAAAATATCTTCATGTTCGTAGGTTTGAGGGACAAAGACCTGTCCTCTTGCACGATTCTTATGGTGTCATTTGATGGATAAATGCTCTCGTTCATATAAGGTTATAGTAGGTATTGTCCGCTTTGGCCCGTTACGTATCACCGTCAACCTCACATTTTTTAACCGCATCTATACTAGAAGGAATGATTTGTTTTTTCCTTCAAATCAACGTGGGATTCCACAATATTATTTTTATATCGACATCATTAAAGTTTTAGTGGGATGATTTTTACGAAAATATCTCGATCCCCTCCAATTACTCTAATTTCTCCAACCCTACGGACCTAAAACTCCTCCCCATATCTTTTGTGGATGAAATCTCGAACAAACTTGTTTTCCAAGCTACATTCCACGCTACCCCAAATATTCTCATTCTCTCCTCCCTATAAACTTTAGGAATATACCTTTTTGCTCGATTTGAATCATAAAATGGGTTTCATCGAGAATATCGTGTATAAAAATTTGCTATTTCGAAGGTCGATAGTTAGAGATAGGTACGAAACTATAATGCATTATATTTAAAATTGGTGTCAAATAAAACAACCTCACAGATTCTAAAGGCTCACGGTGGCGCCGCTCGGCTCCGGCGGGACAAGTTCTCGGCGACCTGAGTCAGTGACTGAAGGTTGCAACGGACGATGGTGTCGACGAACACGCACGTGTCCTCCTTGGTGTTTCCTGGCGGAATATCGACAACGTACGATTCCACCACGACGGTGCCGTCGATGGCAGGGTGGAGGGATGTGACGGACCGGTAGTTAGCGAGCCGGTGTTCGCCTCCGACGACGCTGAAGCTAATGATATGGCGTTCGTCGTCGAGAATCTCGAGTCGCTCGGTGCTATTGGCAGCTGGAAGGCCGGAAACGACGCGAACTTCACGGAGACTGCCTACGTTGCCATCTCCGACGATGACGTCACAGCTCTTGACGAAGTGTTTGTAGGCTTGTGGGTTGTCGAAGCGGCGGAGGACGGACCACACGGTGGAGACCGGAGCGTCGATCTCTTGAACGATGGCGGAGCAGCACTGGTTCGAATCCGTAGCGTGGTTGTGGAAACGCGCCACCGCGTCGGGGACCGTGGTAGCGCGTGATGGAATCGGGTGTTTGAAAACCCCCTGCACGGCGGCGGGGTGGGTTATGCGGTGGGAATGGGAGGAGGTTTTAGGAGGATTGAGAGGCATTTTCCGGCAGAGGATGAGTGGGGTTTTTTCCCCCTCCGGTGGCGGATTTATATAGAGACGAAATAGAAGGCGGCGGCGGCGGCGATGGCAGCGATTCACTTTTTTGCAATTTGGATTTTCGGTGAAGAAAACCGGAAGAAGTTTATGCGAAGTTCATGTGAGGGCAGGAGGCCAACTTGGATGAACGAAATGACCAAAATACCCTTCCTTTGAATTTTCTTTGTCGTTTACGAGAATTATATTTTAATATAAGTTTCAATCATGACCAACTTTATTTATTTAACAATATATATTAAATTATAAGTTTGGTCAATTTTTAAATTTAAATTAAAATTAATCTTCAGAAGAATTTAAGAACGTCACATTTATTTTAATATTTTTTAAAATTTTCCGTCATATTTTTAATAAATATTACCTTATAATTATTAGAAACAAAATAAAAAAATTAATTGCATATTTTACATTTTTAAATAAAAATATCAAATATACACTAAAACTCGTTGCGTAATATATACATATACATATATAAAGCTTCCACAATATTATTCCAATTTTGTTTCGTTCTTAAAAGTTAAAAAGTATATCAAAAAAAATATTCCAAAGCTTTTTATTATTTACTACAAATAGTTCTTTCCATAAATGTATAATGTTATATATTTTGAGTTCGATCCAAAAAATACAATTATTTCAACACATTAGAAATAATAGTTTTATAAAATGAAAATTATGTCACATGGTTAATTATTTTTTAAATGGATAATATGACAATATAGAGGTACCAAGAAAATAATATATAGTTGAGAATAAAATATTGTTTGTTTGGTTTTTTTATTTAAAAAATAACATAAGAAGAAAGATAAATCCAAATTATGACGTCAATAAATTTTTTTTTTACTAATAATATGGATCAAAAGAAAGGGCAAAATAGTAATTTACGGGTGCACTAAAGGCTTGACAACTGGTAATCAGACTGCCAATTAGGCAATCAAGTTGCTGAATAAAGCGCAATCCCAAGGATAAGATCAACAAATTTGTAATTATTATTTTCAATCTTATTTATAATGTCATAATTAAAATATTTATGACCGAAGAAATTATATTACTTGAGTTAGAATAAATTTATGTATCAACTCGTAAATTTATATTTATCAACGCTAAAATTTAATTTTAAATATTTTAAATATTCATAATAATCTAAAGTATGGTAGGATAGAATTGAGTTGAACGGTAAACCGTGCTACCTTAAAATTGAAGTGAGAGATGATCTATGAATATACGGCCGTCCATATATTGACAGTAATAATTTTTTATTATTATTCTTTTTTATAAACGTTATGGATATTAAGGATAAGTGTATTTTATTTAAAAAAAATTTGAAGGTTATTATTAATTAAAGTTTTTAAAGGTTAAGGGCGTTTTTTAAACCCTTTTAAAATTTGAAGTTAAAACAAAATATTGAATTCGGAATTGTGTGGTCCAAATTTTCTAAAAGACAGACAATTACATTTATAATCACGTTTGAAAATTGAAACAAAAATATTTAAAAATACGAGAATTTCGAAAGAATAATAAAATTTAAAACAATAAATAATAATTTTTGAAGTTAGGAACATGGTTGAATCTTTGGAAGTCACCAATGGGCAATGACCCTTTTTGTGATGGAAAGGGCAATGAGAAATTATCGAGGACATGACGATATTTAAACTTAGGACATTACACATTATTAAATTTTTTAATTAAATTGCATTGATTTTTGATCTTCTATAAATTTATGCATATGGTTCAATACGACGATTAGGACTACATACAGCGCACGAGCAAAGATATATGGATTATTATTTTTTACTAATTTATTTAATAAATTCAACCGTTTAATTATATTATTTTGGTCCCTTTACTTTTGAAACGTTAATTTCAATCTGAATACTTTGTAATTAAAAAAAAATCTAAAAAAATATTTATTAAAACAAAAAGTTTCATTAATTCCTTTCAATTAAAAAAAAAGTTCAAAAATATTCTTGCCATCGATATTATGTTTAAAAAATACACATAAAAATTTAAAAGTAGTATTAACCCGGGTTACATTTATAAAAAAGATATTAAAAAAAATTAGAAACTCATTTATTGACATCTCATAAATTATATCCAAACTTTTTAATTTTATTTTTGAAAATTTTTAAACCCTCAGTCAATTTTCACCGTCTATTTTTTAAACTCTTTCCAGAGTGATATTTTTGAAACAACATATTAGACTCTATAAATTAATGGTAAATATATTTTTGAATTTTATTTTAATTAAAGGGTATTTTTAAGAATTTTTAATTTTAAAAAAATATTTTAAAATAAAATACAAAATTAAAATGTATTTTTATTGTTTTAGCGTTAAATAAATAAAATAACGTCATGATCCTAGCATATTCAACGATCGGGCTTGCCATTTTGAGGGCCCGATGGTGCATGGACGACACGTCGTAATTCATTCGAAACTGGTTTCTGTAGCGTCCAGATCCAATTAAATTGGACGATATGTAGTTGGTCAAAATAAAAAAAAAAAAAAAAAAAAAAAAAA